AGGTCAGCTGAGTGTGAAGTGCTGGGCGCAGAGATCATCCTGAAGTCCCAACAAACCCTGCGCAGGGATGAACTGCAGCGGCACTGACTCTTGGCATTTCTTCTTTAGGTTCCGCTCGAAGATCTGCAAGGGATGGACGGATGCTCCCACGCTGCAGTCCCCGCACCCCAGCCACCCAAGCCTCAGCCTCCTTGCCCCTCACCTCAAACGCCGTGAGCTCCAGCAACGGTGCGATGCTGACCTCAGACACAGACAATGCCTGGTTGATGACACTGGCAGCCTGGGACACCTCGGGGTGGTAATGCTGCTGGAGGGCCTGCAGAAGCACGCACATCACCACCCTCTTCCTGGGCAGTGGCCCCAGACAAAAGCACCGACCCCCGGGTAGGCTGGGAGGTGGGGTGACGCACACAGCGTGCTCACCTGCAGCTCCCACAAGGAGCTCTCCAGAGCTCGGCTCTCAGCTGGGTTGCCTTCTTCAGGGTCATAGGGGTCACCGTCCAGCTCTAGGAATGAGACCCAGGCCCCACTCTGTGACCTGCCCCAGTGTGACTGGCTGTTGGGGGCCCCCCAGGCCCTGCCCACACTCACCGTGGCCCAGAGGGTGGTGCACGAGGACACGGCAGGCGGGGTGCCGGCGCAGCAAATTGCAGATGAAGGGCAGGACCATGAGCAGGGCCTCAGGGGGAGCAGTCAAGGCCAGGCGGGACAAGCGCTTGGCAAAGGCAGCCACCAAGTATGCAGGCAGATGGCTGGGAGGGATGGTGGGTCTGAGTGAGACCTCCTCACCCAGTACCCCTGCCCCGCGCTCTGCATCTTAGCCCCGCCTCTGGCACTCACGAAGATGACAGGAAGAGATCTGCCAAGTGGAAGAACCGGGCCCGGTACTTGACGTGAAAGATAGATGGGTCCAGCAGACCATAGAGCTTCCGGTAGAAATCAGGGTACTCGCTGGGAGCCGGGGGGGTTGTGGTGCAAGTGAGCGGCAGCAGGCATGGGGGTGGAAGCAGATGATGAAGAGACAGATCCTGGCTCCCAGTGGCCTCTGCCCCCCCGCCCCCACCCCAGGCTCCCTAGGGCAGCTCAGCCGGCTCCCCAGCCTGGGGCAGACACCTCCCAGGTGAACACTCACAGGTTGTGCTGATGAATCAGGATAAAAAGTCCGTTCAAAGCCAAGAGGCTGATGGCGCCCCCTGCAAACACGCGTGGTGGTGAAGCCCCAGCCCACACCACGCCGCCACCCCACAGGCCTGCTCTGCGGGTTCCCGAAGACGCCCTGCCAGGCAGGCACTCACCCATGTCATAGGCGCGGGTCAGGAAGTCGATCATGAGGCTGGGCTGGGCCAGGTGGGGCAGGATGGAGTCATGCATAATCACCAGCACCTTCTTGTACAGGCCAAGGGGCAGCTGGCGGGGAGGAAGCATGTGTGGGTGCACCTGCCACACTCCAAGGACCACGTGAGCCAGAGGGACCCTGACCTGGGGCGCCTGCTCCCCACCCACCCTGCCCCGTCCCTACCTCGTGTTTGAGGAAGCCAAGCCACATCAGCTGGAAGGCCTTTCTGTGCTCCTGTAGTAGGTGGCAGTGGGGGTGTCAGGGTGGCACATGAGACTCAAGGTGGGGTGGCACGCATCCCACCCCGAGGAGGAGAAACCACACACCACCTTCCCCCTGCTCTGCCAGAGCTGGAAACCCTGAATCAGAAAACTCCGACAAAATGAGGGCAAACACCCAGCCTAGATCACAGCCATAGGGGGGCAGACAGCAGCATGTGTGCGACCGCCCACAGCGATGAGGCCCACTGAGGGCCTGGGACCCAGGCACCCATGTGCCTCTCCCCCCACCCCCTGCCCCCATCCCTGTGAGGGACCCCTGTGGCTGCCTGAGCCAGGGAAGCCACCCCCGCCACGGAGCACCTCACCTTCAGATGAACGACCTTCCATGTCTGCGACAGCTCTGCGGGGAAGATGGCGTCAGCAGGCGCGTGGGAAAGGAAGCAGCCCCATGGGGGCCCCTGCCCACCCACCCAGGATGCTCACTTGCGTGCTTCACATAGAAGCTAGATGTGTTGCACTCCTGGCGGGGGAGGCTCACGGCAGACAACAGTGTGAACGCGTTGTTCCAAAAAGTGAACGGCACCTGCAGAGTACCTGGCCTGAGCACAGATGTACCCCCACCCCCACCCCCTCCCCCAGCCACGGGACTCAGCCAGCTCACCTCCAGGTGCCTGTTGGCGACACGGACCACAATATCCGTGGCCGCCTGCATGGTGTGGTAGCGGATGTCGTCATGTTCCAAGTACTCCCGGAACTGGGAGAGGAGCAGGGAGCAGTCGTCCTCCGGGGACAGCAGGCCTTCCACTACAGCCTGAGTGCCGAGCAGGGCGGTGGGCATCAGGGGGCCAGCCACACCCCCTCAGCAGGGGAGGGTGCGGCAAACACAGGGTGCTCATCAGCCAGTGCGCCAGGGCCCTTCCCAGCACCCCACCCCCACTTTGCCCCTACCTTGAAGAGCTGGTGGGGAAACAAGTAGCAGCCGTCCCACTTGGGTTTCTCCAGGGGGTGGACTCCTTCCAACTGCACAAACCTCATGAGCGTGCTGAGAGCTAGCTCCTGGGGACGGCGGGTGGCAAAGTGGCTAAGGTGCCAGGCCACAGGTTCCCCCCTAGAGGCCCCCTCACAACGCAAACCAAGTGCACGTGCACGAGACGTGGCACTCCCACAAGTACCAAACGCAGGACAAAACCAGCCACCAAAACACCGACCAGACAGGGAAGACGGCCGGGGGGTGGGGGTGGGGGTGGGGGTGGGCGGGGGCCACAACGACCCGGCCAGGAACGCAGAGGGGGCAGTGGTGGCCTTGCCTCCATGTGTGCGGACCAGGGGCGGCTGGGGGTGCGGAGAGCGCTCCAGACCGTGAGCACCACTCACCTTGACCTCCAAGGAGGGGTGGGCCAGGAGCTCCCGCAAGCTGTTGCAGCAGCTGTGGTATCGGTGCCTCATCCACACCTTGTACTTGCGGGTGGCCCCTTGGGACCCTGCAGGGGGCGGAGCAGAGCAGTCAGCCCACACCCAACTCCACAAGGAAACGAGCACGAAGGGTCACCATGGCCCAGACCTGGGCTGGGAGAAAATAACCTCTGCTCTGAGGACAGGGGCCCCCCCGCCCGCCCCCCGCCCCTTTCTTTACTCCAAGACCTAGGCCGTCTGCAGTGGGGACACAGGAGACACCCCCCACCCCGCGCACACCTCTCCACCCCCGCTCCCAGGCCCTGACCACTGTCCATACAGGTCACAAGCGGCACATCCCACCAGCGGTTCCAGACACACGCAGGGCACACTGGGGGGCCTTACCCGGACGCGGGTGCAGGGAGTCTCTGCCCCGCCCCCTCCGCCCGCAAGACAGTCCTCCCCCTCCCCCTCCCCCTGCCCCCGCGGGCCTGTGTCCCCCCCGCTGACCCCCGAGCCAGTCGGAACCGACCCCGGAACCGACCCCCGAACCAGTCGGAACCGCCTGGGGGCCTCCCTCCGCGCGGGCAACCCCCCTCCGCCTTCCTGGAGACATCCGCACCCCTAGGGTGCAGCCCGGGGGGAGGGGAGGGAGGCGGCCCGGGGGTGGAGGAGGAGGGAGGCGGCCGGGGGGGGAGGGGAGGGAGGCGGCCCGGGGGTGGAGGAGGAGGGAGGCGGCCGGGGGGGGAGGGGAGGGAGGCGGCCCGGGGGGGGGGGTGAGGGAGGCGGCCGGCGGGGGAGGGGAGGGAGGCGGCCCGGGGGGGAGGGAGGGGAGGGAGGCGGCCCGGGGGGGGGGGAGGGGGAGGGAGGCGGCCCGGGGGGGGTGGGAGGGGGAGGGAGGCGGCCCGGGCCCCGGGAAGCTCACCCGCCAGGACCGAGTCCTCCGACGGCAGCCGGCCCACGAACAGCTCCCCCCGCTCCAGCAGCGCCGCGAACAGACGGCCGCACGCGCGCACCGCCTCCCGGATCTCCTCGCTGTCCTCGGACTGACGGGACAGGCGGGCTGGGGGCTCTGCTCCCGACCCCGGGACCCCGCGGCCCCTCGACGCCCCGCCCCGCCCCCGACCCCCTCCGCCGCCCGCGCTCCCACCTGCAGCACCGCCAGGATGTCGAACACCGCGTTGGCCTCGCCGCGGCTCGCCAGCACCGCCTCCAGCAGGCAGCCCAGCGCCCGGCGCGCGCCATCCGGCCCGGGGCCCCGCTCCATGCCGCCCCGCCGCCCCACGTGGCACACACAGCGTCTCGCGCCGGGACCTCCGGCCTGCAGCCGCGGGCGCCCGGCCCCCTGACGTCACCGCCCCGCGCCGGGACCTCCGGCTGCCGCCGGCGCTCGGTCCCCTGACGTCACCGTCCCGCGCCCGGATCTCCTGCAGCCGCCGGCGTCCGGCCCCCTGACGTCACCGCCCCGCGCCGGGACCTCCTGCTGCCGCCGGCGCCCGGCCCCCTGACGTCACCGCCCCGCGCCGGGACCTCCTGCTGCCGCCGGCGCCCGGCCCCCTGACGTCACCGTCCCGCGCCGGGACCTCCTGCTGCCGCCGGCGCCCGGCCCCCCTGACGTCACCGCCCCGCGCCGGGACCTCCTGCTGCCGCCGGCGCCCGGCCCCCCTGACGTCACCGCCCCGCGCCGGGACCTCCTGCAGCCGCGGGCGCCCGGCCCCCTGACGTCACCGTCCCGCGCCGGGACCTCCTGCTGCCGCCGGCGCCCGGCCCCCCTGACGTCACCGCCCCGCGCCTGGACCTCCTGCTGCCGCCGGCGCTCGGTCCCCTGACGTCACCGTCCCGCGCCCGGATCTCCTGCAGCCGCCGGCGTCCGGCCCCCTGACGTCACCGCCCCGCGCCGGGACCTCCTGCTGCCGCCGGCGCCCGGCCCCCTGACGTCACCGTCCCGCGCCCGGACCTCCTGCCCGCCGCCGCCGCCGCCGCCGACGTCACGGCTCCGCGCCCCCGCAGTCATCAGGGCGCGTCGGGCCCGGAGGCGTGCGGCTGGAGGCATGGCGCTCTTCCACGTCGCGCGGTACGCAGGCCCCGAGGCGGCCGGGGCGGAGGCTGAGGCGGACGGCCGGGCGCGCGCGCTGCTGGAGCGGCTGCAGTGCCGCGCCCGAGAGCGGCAGCGGCAAAAGCAGCCCCAGCAGCAGGAGGCCGAGCGGGCCGCGGAGGCGGCGGGGCGGCGGCGGCGGCGGCGGCGGCGGCCGCGCAGGCCGCGGAGGCGCGAGGGCTGCGGGGCGGCGGGGAGCCCGCCCGAGCCGCGGGGGAAGCGGCGGAGGCTGGACGGCGAGGACGGGGGCGCAGGGGGGGCCGGGAGCGGCGAAGACGCGTCGGTGGACCCGGGTGGAAGTTCTCCCGCGGAGGGTTCGGCGCCCCCGGCCCGCGGCCTGCCGCCCGGGGCCCTCGGGAGGAGCAGGGCGGCCAAGGTGAGCGGCCGGGCGGTGCGGGGCCGGGCGGTGCGGGGCCGGGCGGTGCGGGGCCCGCGGGCCGGGAGGAGCGTCGGTCTCTGCGCCTCACCGCCGGCCGGTGGCTCAAATCCTGCGCAGACTCGGCGCTTCTGTCGGTAACCGCGTGAGAGGCGGCGCCTCGGGGAGAATAATGAGCGGGTTGGTCCTTGTCGCAGCCGGGGCTGAGCTATTGTACCCGATGGGAACGCAAGGAGTTCGTATGTGGTGTGTGTCCGTCTGATAAGGGGAACCGTTTCTGGTGGCGGTTTGGCTTTTACTCTTTTTCCCACTTGGGTGGGGGTTTCCAGCAACTAGATGCTGAGCTCAAGGGCTCTGGGATGATGGTGATTCCGGGAAAGGAAACGGTGGGCTGGCCGGGGTGCACTGGTGCCCTCGTGTCAGGGCCTCTGTTGGACCAGGGTCGGGAGACGAGGACCAGCCTGAGTAAGATGGACGGGGCAGGTGAGCATCGGGCAGAAGGAAGGATCAGGGCAAAGGCCCTGGGACAGCGGAATGTATAGGAACCAACGTCTGGGGATCCCGGGGTGGCGCAGCGGTTTGGCGCCTGCCTTTGGCCAGGGGCGCGATCCCGGAGACCCGGGATCGAATCCCACGTCGGGCTCCCGGTGCATGGAGCCCGCTTCTCCCTCTGCCTGCATCTCTGCCTCTCTCTGTGTGTCTCTCACGAATAAATAAATAAAATCTTAAAAACAAGCAAACAAAAAAACAGGTCTCTGTGGCTAGAGCATGGTCAGTGATAGGAAATGAGGTTGGGGGCAGGTGCCAGGTCACAGAGGGCTTTGCCAGGTGTGCCTCTGGGTTGGAGGCCATCCTAGCTGCGAGAGGAGTGACGCTTGCTGATTGTGTTTCTTGATTCCTTCAGAGGTTGTGTGGAAGGTGGGCGTGAGAGATGGAGGAGAAGCTGGGGAACCGGTCAGGCTACTCAGCCTGCTTTGCTGTTGTCTCTTCAGTTTGAGTCCCTGAGTCTTTGGTGTCTGTGGGTCTTGCCCCCCTAGTCCCGGGGAGTCTGGAGTATTCACTCGTCGTCTTTCTCTTCCTGGTAGGCCCAGCCTTTCCTGCCATTGTGGTTGGCTGAGCCGAGCTCTGTTGGAAAGAGCGTCACAGAAGACTTGGTGCCTATTGAGGACATCCCTGAAGTCCACCCTGACATGCAGAAGAAACTGCAAGCACACGGCATCTCGTCCTACTTTCCAGGTGTGTGTGGGAGAGGTCTGGACACATGCCCTCAAGAGCATCCCCACCCAGAATCACACAAGCCACAGGATAGCGGCTGTCAGCATGGCCCCCAAGGCACATCCAGCATCAAGTGTGATCTAGGTGTTTGGCCATCTGGGCCTGGTGCTCTTCTTGAGCAAAAACAGCCCAGTCTAGAAGTCACAGGTGAAGGGCAAGGCTACTTTGGGCTTGGGCAGTTGCCCTGATGTTGGGTGTTAATGCACAAACGTGACTTGTGTCTCATCCTTCTCTGTCCAGTCCAGGCAGCAGTGATTCCCACTCTCCTGGAAAGCATAGCCAACGGGTTCCTGGTGGCCAGAGGTGGCTACCGGCCCAGTGACCTTTGTGTTTCTGCCCCGACGGGCAGTGGGAAGACCTTGGCCTTTGTCATTCCTGTGGTACAGGTGAGTGTAAGGACCCCCCACTCTGCAGGCAGGCTCAGCAGGCAGGGAGCCGGCTCTGCTTACACAAGTGGCTGTCGCCCCCTCCCCCAGGCCTTGCTATGTCGAGCTGTTTGCCAGGTCCGTGCCTTGGTTGTGCTGCCCACCAAGGAGCTGGCCCAGCAGGTATGTGCAGCCCGCGCCTACAGGTCAGAATGAGGGATTTTGACACTGTGGTGCTTCCTACCAGGCTGCTGATGGCCATTCCTTCTCCAGGTGAGCAAAGTGTTTAACATCTACACAGATGCCACTCCTCTGCGTGTCGCCCTGATCACTGGGCAGAAGTCACTGGTCAAGGAGCAGGAGAGTCTCGTCCAGAAGACGTAGGTCCTGCTACGTTGGGGACTCCTCAGGGAACAGGGAGTGGCACGAGCCCCTCTGCAGGCCTCTTTGTGGCTGGGGGGTCGGCATGGGCTCCGTGTTGAGCCACTCTGCTCCTCAGAGTAGACGGCTTCCGCTGCTTGGCTGACGTGGTGGTGGCCACCCCTGGCCGCCTGGTGGACCACATTGACCAGACCCCAGGATTCAGCCTCCAGCATCTCCGCTTCCTGGTACGTTGCACACCTGGAAGAAGGCTGGGGTTTGGAACCAGTGTCGACTCTGACCACCAGACGCTAGACCTCTTGCTTCCTTTAGATCATCGACGAGGCCGACCGGATGATAGACAGCATGCACCAGTCCTGGCTGCCCCGGGTGGTGGAGGCAGCCTTCCCGAGTGATGCTGCCAATGACCCCTTTGCTCTGCTCCAGAGGAGACAACTCCAGGCCACCACTGCTGCCAGGTACCTAATGCTGAGCTCTGCTCTGCACTTGGCATAGCCTTTTCCACCGAGGCCCCCTTGTCTTGGCCGTCTGTCTGTCTCTAAGACCCCTTTCACCACTCTGATCGGGTTTGTTCTGGGGCGGCAAGACTCAAGGAGAACAACGAGGGCTCTGCAGGTCGGCTGGCCAGGCCAAGACTGCTGTCCCACCCCCCGCTCCCCTGTCAGTATCTCTTGTCCTCAGATGCCGCTCCAGAAGCTGCTCTTCTCGGCTACCCTGACACAGAATCCTGAGAAGCTGCAGCAACTAGGCCTCTACCAGCCCCGGCTCTTCTCCACAGGGCTAGCAGGCAGGGGCCCCAGAGACACTGACGGGGACGGGGACGGGGACTCAGGCGGGAAGTACACCTTTCCTACAGGGCTGTCTGTGAGTAGGGTGCATGGCAGGGGGGTGGGGTGTGTGTGTGTGCTCAGGCACGTGGGGCCTGCCCAACCCTGTGCTATCCCCACAGCACCACTACGTGCCCTGCAGCCTCCGCAATAAGCCCCTGGCCATCCTGCACCTGATTTTGGAGAGGAATTTCTCAAGGGTCCTTTGTTTTACCAACTCCCGCGAGAACTCTCACAGGTGGGGCCTCAGGAGGCACAGGGGGAACAGAGGGGTGCAGGTTCCAGGCCCTACCCACTTAGCTCCTTGTGGCTTTTCCCACCCAGGCTCTTCCTGCTAGTCCAGGCTTTCGGAGGTGTGGCTGCGGCTGAGTTTTCCTCCCGCTGCAGGCCTGGCCAGAGGAAGGTGGTTTTGAAGCAGTTTGAGCAGGGGAAGATTCAGCTGTGAGTACCTGGAAAAAGAGGGCAGTGGAATCTCACAGCAGGGCCCTCCGAAGGGGAGGTAGTTTCCCTCTGTGGGAAACCAGTCTCCTGACTGGTGACATCCCCTACGGCGGCTGGCTGGTGGGGGTGGGGGGCTCCTGGTCTCAAGCAGGGCCCATAGCCCCTGCTGTTCTCCAGCCTCATCAGCACAGATGCCATGGCTCGAGGTATTGACGTGCAGGGTGTGCAGCTGGTAATCAATTATGACGCCCCCCAGTATCTGCGGACCTACGTGCACCGGTGAGGCTGCCCCGGGGTTGTGGAGGGAGATTTCTTGGAAGGAAACCGCTGTCCCAGTGGACCCCTGGAGGCCACCATCCTGGTCGTTGTGCTTGGTTTCAGGGTGGGAAGAACTGCCCGTGCTGGAAGAACCGGACAGGCCTTCACTCTGCTCCTCAAAGTGCAGGTCAGTCTGCTTGAGTCTCTGTAGGGGTCAGGGGTCCCCTGCTGGCAGCACTGCTCGGGGGAAACGGGATCCCTTTCTACCCATTTCCCTGCAGGAGAGGAGATTCCTCCAGATGCTAGCTGAAGCCGGCGTGCCCAAGATGGCACGGCACGACATCCCTAGTGAGCTCCTGCAGCCGCTCGTCCCTCGGTACGAGGAGGCCCTGTCTCAGCTGGAGCAAGCTGTCAAGGTGAGGGGCCAAGGCGTTCTTATGACACACGTCTCGTGTCGGAAGAGACCCGACACGTGGGAAGGGAGTACATGGCCCTGGGAGGGGTGTTGGGGTCAGAACTGCACTTTCTGAGCGAGTGCCGGGTGCTGCTGCTTGCGGGGAGTGGGGGTGGGGGGCGCAGGTGGCACCACTCAAGCCTCTGCTTCTCCCCTCCGCAGGAAGAGCAAAGGCAGAAGGTGGCCTAGACAGGCTCGGAGGACTGCAGGCTGGGCCCACTGCAGAGCAGGCCCTTCCCATCCTGTGCCTCTTCCAGGGCTTAGCCACATCCTTTCTGAACAACACTGAATGGTGGCTGCTAGATAGTGAGCGAAAGACAGATTCCTCTGATTTCAGAGGGAGCTGGGAATGTGGGGCCGTGCTTGGCACACCTGGCCAGAGGCAGAAACACAATCGTACCTACATCTCTTAGTCTGTGGGAAATAACGATCCTGTGCAACGTGACTCCTATATCAAATGTCATTAATAAACTCTTTTTTCCTTTGTTCTATGTATTAAGGTTTCAGGAAATTTTTAGAGATTCTATGCAGGTTTTTTAATTCAGTTAACATATAGCGTATTATTAGTTTCAGAGGTAAAGTTCAGTGATCTATCTGTCTTATGTACACCCAATGCTCATTCCATCACGTGCCTTCCTTCATGCCCATCCCCGAGTCACCTTATCCCCCGTCCCCCTCCCCTCTAGTGACCTTCAGTTTGTTTCCTAGAGTCAAGAGTCTCCCTCTGTGATTTCGTCTTTTTATTTTTCGCTTCCTTCCTCTATGATCCTGTTTTGATTCGTGAATTCCACATATGAGGATAGTCATACTATCATTGTCTTCTTCTGACTTCTGACTTACTTCACTCAGCATAATACTCTCTAATTCCATGTACATCGTTGCCAAATGGCAGGATTTCATTTTTCTGATGGCTGAGGCATATCCATCGTGTCCATACACCACATCTTCTTTTTCCATTCATCTCTCGATGGACATCTGGGCTCCTTCCACAGTTTGGTTATTGTGGACACCGCTGCTGTGAACACTGGGGAGCAGGTGCCCCTTTGGATCACAATATTTGCATTCTTTGGGTATGTTTCATTGTTTTAAATAACCTACTCATCAGATGACAAAGTCGCTTTACCTCCTCAGGCGGGCAGTCCTCAAGTGCAGTCTTAGTGTTTACGGGTAGTGGACACGAACAAATACATTCATACTTTCCAAGTTGAGGCCCAAAGGACCACATCACTGATCCAGCAGGTGTTCTCAAGTGTCACCTGTTACCATGTCTTGGATGCTCCTACATACTGGAGGTGGTGGCAAACGGACCCATGGGTTCAGAGGTGCTCCCCACTGCAGCCAGACAGCAGAATCACTTCAGTGGCCCCTGCCCCACCTCGAATGTATACACAGAAACACAGCCTTGGGCTTGCTGAGGACTTGGGCTTGGCAAGGACATGATCAGATGGTCATGGTGATGGAAGGGTTTGGAGGACACACGATCTTCTCCACTGAGTATATATATATATATATATTGTGGGGCAGCCCGGGTGGCTCAGCGGTTTAGAGCCGCCTTCAGCCCACGGCCTGATCCTGGAGACCCGCGATCGAGTCCCACATAGGGCTCCCTGCATGGGGCCTGCTTCTCCCTCTGCCTCTCTATATTTCATGAATAAATTAAAAAAATATATATAGATATTCTCTTTTATTTTCAAAAAAAGATTTTATTTATTTGTGAGAGACACACACACACACTGAGAGGCAGAGACACAGGTAGAGGGAGAAGCAGGCTCCACGCAGAGAGCCTGTTGCGGGGCTTGATCCCAGGACTCTGGGATCCCACCCTGAGCTGATCCCTCCATTGAGAATAATCACAGATCGGCAGCCTTGGTGGCTCAGCGGTTTAGCGCCGTCTTCAGCCCTGGGTGTGATCCTGAGGACCAGGGATCGAGTCCCACATCGGGCTCCCTGCATGGAGCCTGCTTCTCCCTCTGCCTGTGTCTCTGCCTCACTGTGTGTCTCTCATGAATAAGTAAATAAAATTAAAAAAAAAAAAAAAGAATAATCACAATGAAATAATCTACTGAGTTAGGGGCTGAGAGCTTTCCAAATGCCACAAGCGCCTTGGGAGAGGGGTATACAGCAGGAAACCAGGGGCCTGAGGAATGAAGTCACTGGTCCCATCGCGTGGGAGGAAGGTACTCGAGTACAGAGCAACACAGCCACAGAGCACGGGGATCCTAAGCACCCAGCAGGCACTTGGCAAAGTGTCATAAATGAGGTGCCCCATGATGTCCCCCAGCCAGGTCCGTGGGTGCAGGTGATGCACAGAGGGGCCTGCACACTTGGCTGTGAGTTGGGGGAATGTGAAATGGAAGCCTGAGGCTACAGGCCCACATTTCTGCAGTGGCAGATACCAAAAATAACCACACATTTCTTGGGGTGCTTCTCAGCATTGTATGAAGTTGTGCATTTTTTTTAATGAAAAAGGTATTTTTTGTAATCACCAGCTTTTTTCTTTTAAGATTCTATTTGTGAGCAAGTGAGTGGGCAGGGTAGGAGCAGAAGGAAACGGAGAAATAATCTCCAGTAGATTCCACACTGAGCAGGGAGCCTGATGCAGGGCTTGATCCCAGTACCCAGAGATCATGACCTGAGCTGAAACCAAGGGTCAAAGGCTGAGCCAACTGAGCCACCCAGGGACCCCCAACAACTTTTTTTTTTTTTTAAAACAAAAGTAAAAGTAATCTAAGAGCAAGAGAGGTGACAAAGAAAAGTAACACTTGCAGGCCACCTGCTTTGAGGAGTGTTGGGTAGAGAGCCTGTGAGGCTCCACCTGGCCCTCCACCATGTGGGGTGTCTGGAGGTGGCAGGTGACGGGAGAAAAGGGCAGCCACTGCTGTGGCACCCAAATGCACCAGGTTTTCCTCCACACGTATGTGGAGCACGAAGGCTGGGTGGGGAGGCGCAGTCTCAGCAGGCAGAGAGTGGCTTTCACGGAGAACCACCAAGCACGCTCCACTCCCATGGCACCAAGGCGGTGGGCCAGGAGAAGCAGGCATCTGCCTCCAACCCTGCGTGTGTTCCCTTTGTTTTTCCTTCACACAAATCAAATAAATGCAACTAGCATCTCATTTTAATTTGAATACTAGTGTTCTATGAAAGAGAAAACGAAAAAACATATAAAAAGGTCATTTTATTATACCTTTTGTTTGGCGGGTATCCGTGCCCTCTTTAAAAGCCTACTATTCAAGTACAAACGGGTATGTTTACAAAGTATGTACAGCTTCAGTCTTCTTCCTGTATGTTTAAACCCAACAACTGTCTGGCACAGAAAGTGGTGAAGATGCACACAGGTGAGCCCTGCCTCACACGGCCCCATGTTCCTGCATGTGCAGGTTCAGCTTCTTGCTCTCCAGGGGCGCCCCCCAAACAGCCTCAGCTTAGTCAGAGCCAAGATCTGAGTAGAGGAGGACAGGTGCCAGTGCTCCACACAGCCAGGTGGAGTCAGACAGTGTCCTGGCGGCCACTGTGACTTCCAGACCTCCCACGCTGTCCGGGCAGGAACACCGGTTCTTGGGCGATGCAGGACTCTGCTGACAGGACCAACGAGGAGGTATGCACAACCTCCAGGCTTGTGCTCATCTCTGAAACGTGGACAGTGTACTCTTGACAACAGAAGACCGAGAAAGCCACACCCAGGGAGGACGAGGTTTCCTGGAGCACCTACCAGAGCCTGCAGGAAGGACACAAGTCCCACAACTGCTCCGTGTTCTGCATGAGGGAGCCAATGAAGGACACACCCTGGGACACGAGGGGCTCTCACTGTCTCACTCCCCATGCCACACACGCTGCCACCCCAGATAAGTTCTGACAGATGCTCTGCACTCCCTCCTGGGGTTCCAGACAAAGGGAAGGCTCCATCTAGCAGCTCCGTGCAGGGTGCTCTAAAGCAGGTGCAGCCAGCATCTCTTCCTCCTCAGAGCAAGCTGCCAGTGCCCCAGCAAGGACGAAGGGCAGAAGAACGGGGTGCACAAATCCCAAGAAGCTGAAACAAGAGCATCCTTCCACATTGCAGCTCCGCAGGTTTGGGGGTAAAAGAGAGCAGGAGTCCCCTGAGTGCGCACATAGCCTTCCTGTGCACTCTGTCCTCGGGACAGCACTGGCCATGCCAGAACCAACCAGTGTCGGTGTGGGAACAGGTCACGATACTGTTTCGACATATTCGAGTTAACTAAAATGTTAAGTCCCTTCCATCTTCTCAACATCTGATTTTTACTTGTTTCCAAATTTCTCACCCAGAGCTCAATAATGAGCTGCCCAGCTGCTTCCGTAAATGCCATGATATTACTGCTGATGAAAATCGATGGGAAACCAAAACTACAGTCCGGGTTCCTTTGTGGCACTTAAAGTGGTACATGGGAGAGGACAGATAAAATTAATAGCTAAAATTCACTCTCAGACCCAACACAAGCTGATCTTCTGGACCAAGTAATATGAGAGAGGGACAGAGACAGAACGGGGGGGGGGGGGGTCATTGGACATGCACGTCTGCCTGGGTGTGAGCATCCAGGTAAGCAGACACCATCTGCCCATCACGCCCACTGCAAACACTTCTAGATTAGCCTGCCATAGTGAAAAAATAAAACAGGAGAACATGGGACCTCCTCTTTGCCCCTCCACTGCACCACCCTCTCACTCCCAAATACCGCACAGGTTCCCCACTTTACACAGAGCCATGAGGGAACACATCTGCTCACATATAAGACACAGGCATCACAAGAAACAGAAATCTGGCATTACCAGTCTATGCTAAAGAGCTCACTATGCCCATTTCTGTAGGTGACAGTTGCAGGTTCATAAATACTCTGTACATGGAGGTTTCTCTCCCATCAGCAGATCATGCCTGGGATGGGCAGGACAGCGAGGGGGCGGGGACAGGCATCCTACTCTCACCGGCACCGCGCCCCTCACACAGCAGTTGGGGCCCCAAACCCGCCTGAGACAGGAGCTCCACAAAGTTCTCTGGAGTGGCTTCAGTGCACTACATTCAAACACAAGCTTCATCCAAAAGCTGGGAGAATATCCCGGATATGCGGGGGTAGACAGCAGTCATGCTGTGCGGAGGGCCCGGGGGCAGCCACACTGGCTGCTCTTTGGAATGACAATTCAGTCGGGGACGGTAAGCCTTCACCACGGCCGGGAGCAGGTCATGAATGAGCCTGCATGGGTGTCACTACTAGACACCTCCTTCAGACGTCTGCTCAGACAAGTCCCACTTTAGGAGGGAAAGAAGGAATCACATTGGCTTCCTCAGATATTCTCTCCTCCCCTAGGACCAGGACATGTTCTCAGTGAGGGATACGGAACTGGGCAGAGGTGGATGCTGCCAAAGACCACATCTGAGCTTCAGGAAGTCCATTTTATGACTCACTGCACACTCCATGTGGTGACATGTGGAACACTGCACACTAACCTTAGGAGATATTCTACGTGCCTTTCAGGACCCTGCACTA